GCCTGGTTCTTATATCAGTCACTGACAGTGAACTTGCTTCGACCTCGTGCGACAATTTATGAGTTTTGACAAAATTGTAGAAGGTTGGTATTACTGGATGTCGATCTAGAAAATAAGCTATTCTTGCACCCAGCTTTTTCTTTACACAATGTGTTATTGCATCTCGAACATTGTTGTATGAATCGAAAAAAATGATATGGTAGTTTGAGAACATGTTCAAGAGTCGGAAAAGGCTTGACAAGTGACTTCCTTGTCCATTTCTAATGACATTACGACGAAGGAACCACTTTTGTCTCCAATGGTATATCGTACTTTTGTCATTCTTATAAGCTTTTGAGGTCCTTTCTTTTCAAAGGTAGTGATATTTGGGGTATAATGTATCATTTCATTCTCGTAAATGCGTCGAACGCCAAATTTCAATTCACACAATTTCGCCTCTACTTCAGCATCGGTTCTGGTAGCTTTAATGGTCTTTGCTGGAAAAGGCATTGTTGAGGTGAGTGTCGATTGAAGATCTAGAACTGTAGGTCCATTTTGTAATCTGTGGCGCAATCGGTAGGCATACTGGTCAACTGCACAAAGTGCTTTGTCTACAATGGACTCATCCACTTTTGGCATTACAGCAAAAGATGGTCCCAAACTTAAAGCGGCTGCCATATCATCATCGATTTCTTACCAATTGCTACAAATCTTTTGGGAGGTATTGCACTCCTTTTTCAAAAATGATCCATTCAAGGATGGTGCTATCTTTAAATTGGTCAGTTTCCTGTCGAGGCGATTTCTTTCCGATTGCCGTAATTTTGATAACGATCCTACATCGAAATAAAGTAAACACCTTGGGAAAGATGCGGAGTCTTATGAAATCAAGAAGCACCAGCCGAAAATAAATAATAGAGAAGAAGTGAACGAGTCCCTGATAGTGATTTCTTGATATCAACAAAACCATAAATGGAAACTACATATCATTCATAACTGACGTATATCATCACCCGGACGTCTCCT